AAAGATCAGGAGGGAGCTAAAAGGATTACGGATCCAAACTACTGGATACACGAGTATAAACTGTTCTCCTTAACTCCATTGGGTGCACGAGTATAAACTGTTTCCCCTCACTCCAAAGAGTATATGAGTATAAACTGCTCCTCGATACTCCAATAGGTATATGAGTCTAAACTGTTTCCCACTCTCGACGGGAAGTTCCTGGAGAATTTTTACATGTAATATTCTTAAAGATAACCCGGTCATGTAACTCAACATGATGTTAGACCCAGTTTCACGAAGAAAGCTGGGGGTGGATTGTTCATGTAACGGGAAGTTCTCGTAAGAATTCTATATGTAGTTTTCTTAGGGATAACCCGATCATTACAAACAAAGTGATAAACACTACATCCCCACGGTGATTTCCAAATACTCTTTTGCTGAGATGAGATTCGATCACCTCTTTAGATCAATCTTCCCTCACAAATGTGATTTCCAAATACTCTTTTGCTGAGATGAGATTCGATCACCTCTTTAGATCAATCTTCCCTCACAAACCCCTATTTGGTCAAACTTTTAAACAGTTAGGACCAAAGTCAAAATCCCCTCTATTCCTTCCATGAACGAGAGGTCCACTCAAATGATCAAACCTTTAAACAGTTAGGATCGTCTCAAACCCTTATTTGGTCAGACCTTTAAACAGTTAGGACCAAAGCCAAAATCCCCTCTCGATTCCTTCCATGAACGAGAGGTCTACTCAAATTGAACGGTCAAACCTTAATAGTTAGGATCATCTCAAATTCTCATTTGGTCAAACCTTTAAACAGTTAGGACCAAAGCCAAAATCCCCTCTCGATTCCTTCCATGAACGAGAGGTCCACAAATTGAACGATCAAACCTTTAAACAGTTAGGATCGTCTCAAAACTCCCACTTGGTCAAACCTTACTACAGTTAGGACCACAACCAAAATCTCCTTTCGATTCATTTTTGCGAACGAAAGGTTTACTTTTGAATTGAGTAATCAAACCTTATGACAGTTAGGATTATTCAAACCAATCCAGATTCTCTAAGTGGAGATCCCACTTTGAGTTTCTTTACTCCAGGAGATAGAATATAAAATTCTTCCTCTCCAATTGACAGGCAGTTTCTGGAGAATATTATTCTGAATATTCTTAAGGATAACCTGACGAACTCTCGAGGGACATACAAGTATCAATTTGGTGATAAAAGTCAAAGAGATACCAACTTCGATTCAAGATCTCGATAACGGTCACAATACCGGAAGAGTATTAGCTATTCTACAAAGAACTGAATAGGCTAAAGGATGAAGAGATCAAGAGCCGTAGCCATTTTATGGATTCCTCTACACGATCTACTCAACCAAGTATTGAAGAGATCGTAAGTAAAATCTATCTTATCCAAAGTATCCCAGACTCCTCTATAAAAGAATGAGTCTGGAATACTTTGGAGGGGGTATATGTAGGCATCAAAAAATGCTAAAAGATATCCAAATACAGCTCAAGAGGAGATCATCAAAAAATCAAAAGAATACAGATATGAACTGTCTCGCCAGCGAGACAG